GACTCTTGAAGACCAATTTGCAGTCACTTCCCAATTTATGCCCTTGAATTAATGTCTCCGAAGGTAGGGATGACTCCACAGATGCCTACTATTCCCCGATTTTTCTGCCAAAGCAAGGATGATTTCACAGGGGCAATAGATTTCTTTGACGGATTTATTAAGGTCATATATATGTGTGTGTCTGTGTGTATAAGAAAAAAGGGCTGGAAAGACTTAAAGAAGAAAGCAGATCAGACATTTCTCCAAGTAGGACTTCCTTTGGTGATTCCATTTGACTCATGTTTCTTAAGTCCACGGAATCATGTTTGTGTGATTAACTTCGGAAGTGGTTCTTTTCTTTTCTGCCTGAGACTCCTCCCCATACTTCAGGCTTACTTAAAACTCCAGCCACAGACAAGAGAACGAATTCACTGAAGTGTAAACCCTCTCCTCAGAAACTTAATTCATACTTACGTATATGTACGTGTGGTTTTGTGTCCAGGAACCTGTGAGGCAGTGACCGTGTTGTTCTTCCTTTCTCCCCTTGGGAGGAACAGTGTGGCGTCTTAGCCGGTGTGCAGTCTGTCAGCCTGCACCTGACACACAGGTGCAGGCGTGCTAGATGCACTGTCGCTTGGAAGCTTGTCTCCTTGGACACATTAACCTCTCAGAGACTGGATTAGCTACCAGGTATAAAGGAAAGGATGTACAAATCTGTGACATTAGATGAGGAGTCAATTAGTGGTACTCTGGTCCCACCTCCTACCGTATCCAAGTTTGGAGTAGTAGCATCTAATGTATCAAAATAGAGGAGGCACTGGTGGCTCATACTTGTGATCCTAGCTACTCAAGCTGAGATCTGAGGATTGTGGTTCAAAGCCAGCCTACGTAGGAAGGTCTGTGAGAACCTTCACTTTAATTAACTACCAAAAAAAAAAAAACACCTGGAAGTGGAGCTGTGGTTCAAGTGATAGAGTTCTAGTTTTGAGCAAAACTGGTCAGGAACTGTGCCCAAGCCCAGAGTTGTAGCCCCAGGACTGATACACAAACAAAGTGATATTGAGTGAATTCATGGCTGAAATAATAAAGCTTCAATATCTTCTTCATATGCTTCCTAAACATAATCTGTAGCTCCTGCCTTAAGCTATGTGTGTCATTATGACTGTGTAATCCCAACTATTTTTTGGTATTTCTGGATATAAGGATCATCCTTTGTTTACTTTGGTTTCAGATCTCCTAAGGTTTGGATTTATTGCATTTATGCCAAGTTAAACAGATGGTTTCTAAATTTTACCTCAGAACACCCATGGCTTCTTTCTGAGCCCGCGTTCTGTAGCTATCCTGGTCATGGGTAGGGTCTTGCCCTTCCGATGATTACCTTGGCATTCTTCCAATGCAGCCTTCTAAATTTAGATCACAGCTCTGCGAGAACAAACCACAGATGTGCAGCAAAATATGCGCAGTGTGGGGCTGGAGCCATTTCTCAGAGTTCTCATAAAAAGGCTTTATCCTAGAGGTGTTTGAAAACTTGGTATATTTCCCTTATTTTTCTTTGGTCCAAGTGTACTATTTTATTTTTCCCACATCCCACTGGGATTTGACAAATTAAAAATGTTTGATCGAAACACTTTATTTTCTAAGTTCATACTATGTCTCTCATACACGTGTAGGTCATAGTTTTAAATATTTTCAACTAAAAACAAGCTTTCGTTTCTGGCTTGTTTGATATAGTGCAAAGTGTTTGGTGCTTTACAATTGGTTTAACAAGAATACTTAATATTTACTATATAATCCTATTGATCCCAAGTAGAAAAGTACTTATTCTCTGTACCCTTTAGCTAAAATGAATGATGCTCTAATATAGGTTCTCTACATGGAGACAAAATAGAGAAAGTTGGGTGTTATTTTTGTTACTTTTTTTGTTTGTTTTTATGTTTTTTGAAAAGCAAGATTTATGATCTAGGTTAGCACTAACTTATTTGTGGCATCCATTTGTCAAGGGCTCTGGCCGGCTCTAGTCTGAGCCTCACGCCTGATTTCCAGAAGTCTTCAGTAAATATTCCTCTTTTCCCCCCCTCATTTTAATTTACTGTAGCTGTAGGAAAATAACGAGGCCTAGACTATGGCAGGTCACTGGTGAAGGAGGAATGGGAGGAATGGGGGACCAATTTTTTAAGTCCCTTCTAGCTGCAAAGTATTTTTCCCTTTTTTTCTTTCTTGTTCTATAGATGGATAGACAGAGATGGAGTCTCATAGACCTTTCCGTCTTGGTTGGCTTCAGACTCCAATGTGCTGGACCTCAGCCTTTTGAGTAGCTAGGATTACAGGAATGAGCCACTGGTGCCTTGCTTACTTAGCATATAGAAAAGGTAAAATGACAGGTTTAGTTTGTTCAGTTATGAAAAATGGCTGCTCTGGCCAAATAGTTTTAGCTATCTAGAGCTATCTAATTTGTTTTCAGTTCAAATAAACACATTCATATGTGTGGATCTCCATTTTGAATTCTAATTTGTCAGAGATGTGGACAAATATGGAAACAGATATGTGGTTGGTGAGCAAGACTAGTAGATAAGTAGACCAAATAAGACATGTCTGCTTTCTGCATTCAGTATTTCGTTCTTGTGCTTGGTTGTTTTTTTGTTTTTGTTTTTGATTTGGCTTTCAAGAGCTTCTCCCTTAGGTACCATGTGTTATCTAATTGCTCTTTAATGTGGTACCCAAGAGATGTCTTACCTCTGGGGAAAATGCAGCAGATTAAAACCAGGATGGCTGAGAAGCAAAATCTGCTGTTATAAAGGGAAGGAACGGAGTATTGGCTAAGGGACGTAGGGGAGGAGAAGAAAAGCAGACTGCAGCATTTTCTTAGCTCTCTTTTGGAAAAAAAAAAGAATTCACATTGGGAAACTGATTTTCTTCACTTATGTGCATCTCTGTGCATGCTTAGTGTGTGAATATAACTTGAAGATCATTATAGTGCTTGTATTATAAACAAAGATTTTTTTCCCTTGAGAAGTAGTCTATAGTTTTCTTGTAAAATAACCACATTATACAGAGTGGCTATGAGAAGCATGCTTGACTTGATTATATGACACAAGCAGTGAAAATCACTCAGAATGTAAAGCTCTTATAAAATGCAAATACTGTAAATACAGTCTGATTTTTGAGCAGTGGAAGGCACAGAGGAACAAACCCAGCAGTTCATCCTTCTTATGCCTCCGGATAATGGGTAAACTTGATGTGTTGTACAAGGCAAGATAGTAAACATGTTAGACTATGCAATGCACGTTCTCAGCAATTTCACTGTGCCATTGTAACGCAAAAACAGACACATAAAAATAACAAAAAGAAATGCTCTTATTGGAAAGCAAATATTTACAAGTACACTGTGACTTAATTTAGCAGGTTGGGTATACTTTGCCAATCCATGCCCGTATCTACCGTCTAATACTAGGTGAACAATACATGGAGGCTCCAATCAGATGCAAATAGGACATTTGTGGCTATACACCTAATGTAATTTAGCTCCTTTCTGAAATCTTGGCAATTAAAAAAATTTCAAAACAAAACAAACCTAGGTGAGGTGGCATGTGTCTATAATCCCAACACTCAAAAGGCAGAGACTGAAGGATTGTGTTTCAGGCAACTATTCTACATAGTGACACTGCCTCAAAAAACCAACTGTTCTCCCCCCCCCCCCCCCCCCCAGCCTACAGATATCAAAGAAAACCCATACAGGAATAAGAATGGAAAATATAGTATATCATCATGTATCTTTTCACACTTTTTCCTGTTGTGTTCTTTTTTTTTTATTGTGAAAATACTGTACAGAGGGGTTACAATTACATGGGCAAGATAATGAGTACATTTCTTATCAAGCATTGTAGCTTCCTCCTTTGTTTCCCCTTCCCATCCCTTCCCATCCTCCTCCCGCCCTCCCAACCCTCCTCCCCCCCCCCCCCCCGCAAAGTTGTAAAGTTCATTTTCCACATAACAACTTGTACATCTCATTGTTGCAATGGGTCCACCTGTATCCCTATTTAAACAATTTGTTTTTTCCCTTCCCCTCCACAAATTATACCAACATCAAATACAGTGAAAGCAGGGGTTATACTGTGGGGGAGGGACATACAAAGCAACAAAGAAATCATCTTATAAATGTGTTAGAAACAATCCCATGAAAGAAAAAAAACATTTGAATACATATCTTAGAGTTCATTTCCCTAACATCAACTTATCTGACCTTTTCTGCTTGACTCAGACATATACTAATTTTTGCAAATAAGGGAAACCATGGGACCTATGTTTCTTTGGACCTGGCTTACTTCACATAATATAATTTTTTCCAAGTCTTTCCATTTCCTAACAAATGGGACAGGGTCATTCTTTCTGATGGAGGCATAGAATTCCATTGTGTATATATACCATATTTTCTTGATCCATTCATCTACTGAGGGGCACCTGGGTTGGTTCCATATCTTAGCTATGGTAAATAATGCTGTAATAAACATAGTCGTGCTGGTAGCTTTAGTGTGGTCTTGTTTGTGAGCATTTGGGTAAATGCCCAAAACTGGGATTGCTGGGTGATAGGGGAGCTCTATGTGGAGTCTTTTGAGGAACCTCCACACTGCTTTCCAAAGTGGTTGAACAAGTTTACACTCCCACCAACAATGAAGTAAGGTTCCCTTCTGTCCACATCCCCTCCAGCATCTGTTGTTATTAGAGTTCTTGATTATAGCCATTCTAACTGGGTACCTGTTGTGTTCTTGATGCCAGATTTTTGTTGCTTTTATTGTTGCTGTTTGGTAGAATGAGATTAGGGGAATTACACACCTTCTTCACAGGGACTGCCTTGGCCATCTGATAGTTAGGGATGTCACAGGAAAGAAGCAAGTGGAGGCTAGAGCAGCGTAGTCCTGTCCACCATTGGAACGTTTAACTCTGTCAGTGAGCACCCAGGGAAACCACTTGCTGACCTCTTTAGTCCATGTTTTCTTTATTCATTAAAATGGTTCTCTTTACAGGTAAAGATAAGATGAAAGTCACAGAGGATGAATTAAAGAGACTCCCTCTCATTAAGTGGTGTGTCTTGGAAGCCATTCGTTTAAGAGCCCCTGGTGTCCTTGCTAGAAAAGTAGTGAAGCCGGTTAACATTATGGTAAATTCTTGATTTCATTTTCAAGGAATCAGCTTCTTCCTGTTATCCCACCTGCTTGGGCAGAGATTGGGAAAATGTATGGTTCAAAGAATATGCTTTGAGATTTTTCTAATTTGGTGGGGGGGGGGGGAGGGGAATCAGGGGGAGTAAACTTCATTATTATTATTATTATTATCTTTAAATAATGGTACAAAGGACATTTAACAAAGCAGTTTGAGAACACAAGATATCCTGATCAATGTCATTCCCCATCCCACCCCCTCCCTCTCTCTCATTAATTTTGTAGGCTGTACATTGGGACTCTGGCCTGCATTTTCCTCCTCTTCTCCTCTTCATTCCTCCTGTCCCTTTCCCCTTGAGCTCACCTCACCCCTTTTGAATACCCACTTCCTAAAAAAAATACTCTGTCTTTTAAACTGTTTTTAAACAACCTAGACCAAGTTGGCTTGTGGTCAAGAGCTAGGAGGAGAAGTCATATACTCTGGGCCTCCTCCTACAGATGTTTTGCCTTAGGCTTTTTCTGTTCCCACATTCCTTGGCACCTTCCTGAGTTGCAACAAGGAGCCCTGACATCCATGAGAAGCCCAGCTCCACAGGAGCAGGTGAAGCTCTCTTGCCTCATAGCGCCCGTGAGACATAGGCTGACCACAGTCAAGTCTTTACAGTTTTACCATGCAGAGCGGCCGGAGCTTCCCTGTGCTAGTGATCCGTGTTTCTGGTGCAGCCAGTGTTTGGTCTCCCTCTTGATCCCACTTTTCATTCGTTATATAAATAAAGTCAGGCCTGTTTAGACTGTGCCTGGCGAGGGCTTGCCTGCTCTGAGCGTTTCTTTGATTGGACGGCCCTTTCTGCTGTTCACAGGTCTGCAGCAGGGGACTTCCCTGTTGTCGTCCCCCTGTTGGTTCTGTCCCTGAGGCTCCTGCTTGGAGCAGCTTTTTCCCTGATAGTCTGGGGGGATGTGGGCTGCAGCAGGCCAAAGCCTTTAAGTCATGATCACAGATCACCAGCAACTGAAGTGGAGCTGAGGGAGAGCTTCCCAGAGTTGTCTTCCATCTCTACCCTCACACATATATCAGAGATCTCTGTGGTGACTTTAGAGGTAACCAGCCCTCACAGAGCCACAATGGACAGGACTTGGATCCCACCAGTCTCTTTCTCCATCGGAGAGTGCCTGGGGAGACCTCACTCTTCCTAGTATGGGAGCTGATGCTCTCTGGCTCTCCTGGGAAGGATGGTGTCAGGCCTGCTGCTAGTCACTGAGACCCCCAAGCTCAAACCCAAACAAATGAACATATAGCATTGGCTTCTCCCCACCTCTCAACTTCCTAACTGGTTGTCTTTAAGGTCTTCCTGCTTCAATATTCCTGCTCCCTCGATACTGTTATGGGGTCCCCGGGGACACAACACCACTGTCCTCTTCCTCAGTGCCCCTGCCCCTGCCTTGGACCTAGAGATTCCCGCTCTGTGAGGTAGTAGAGATCCATCATGGCTTCTGTCCAGAACGCTTGCTGAAAACCCCAACACCTAGCATCAGAGCTGCATCAGAAAAGATGTCACTAGTTCTGGAAATTTTCACACTTATCTAATATTCCCCTCTCTTGCCAGGCAGGCATGAGCAGGTAACTAAAAATCAGGAGGATAAACCAGTCATTGCTCCAGTTGGCAATAGAAATGATTTGTCAAAGGAAACTTTTCCCAAGATTTCAAACCAATGACTCGGAACTGGTTTTTCTATTATAGAATTTCACCATCCCTCCTGGGGACCTCTTGATGGTGTCTCCGTTTTGGCTACATAGAAATCCAAAGTATTTCCCTGAACCCGAGCTGTTCAAACCCGTAAGTGATCTTCTTCAATGCACATAATTGTTTCTTTTGATTTTTTTCCAGGAGTCTGAATTAGTGAATTAACTAGGACTATCTCACTAAGGACCCATATTAATCAGGTAACTTTGAACAAAGTTGGCTGCAGTGTGCAGCTTAGATTTCCAAGACAAACAGCACAGCCTTCATACATCAGGTAGAACATAGCCCTAATTTGGAAGAAAGTTCTGGTTTAATTTCAGGGAAGGCATGGTTTTTATAGGAGACTTATTTTGTATTCCTCTGGCAATTTCTGTTTCTGTTTTCCTCCAAGGTGAATACAAAAAAAAAAGTAAACTGATGACTTGCAATTTCATTTTATTAGGAATTTGGCCTTAAAGTTGGGTTGAAAAGAATCATTAGAGTTAACTTTGTTCATTCTCTGTCTTTGAATAAAACAATCACCACTGGCATCTGGATGTACTCACTTTAAAACCTACCCTTTCTCAAATAGGCTCCGCTGTCTATGTCTTACTATTAAGTTTATTACCAAGAGTAATTTTATGATGGAGCCTGAGACCTTATTATAAATATGCTTCCTCTCCATAGGTTAATTCTGTGGTTGATTTACCTTACCGTTTACATTTACCACTTAGCAAAATTATCTTTATGCATTTTTATTTATAAATTCATGTTCCCAAACTATAATTGTGCCTGATATTAATAACAGGTTGGAAAAAAATTATCAACAACCTTGCAACTTTATATGCAAGGATTAGCTAGAAATAAAGTAAAGCTCATTTCTAAAAGGCTGATTAGGGGAAAAAATGTTTTCTTCCCACAGGAACGTTGGAGAAAGGCAAATTTAGAGAAGCATGCTTTCTTGGACGGGTTCATTGGATTTGGAGGCGGGAAGTTCCAGTGTCCTGGAAGGTCAGAAAGATGGGACCACACTCCCCCAGATCGGGCAGAGAGATGGTATCTCACAGAGGAAGGCAAGGCTTAGCCTGCCTTTTCCCTGCTGTTAAACTACAGGGGTGTGTGGGGAGAGCAGAGTTCATGTGATAATCAGTTGTGTTGGGGGCACTTTGTGAGAAGAGACCTCATCCAAGGAAATACTGAGCCTGTAGATGCTGGAGAAAATCAGGCCTTCTGTAGTTTAAATACTCAGTTACCAAAAATGGGTCATTAGACATGGTTTGGTTGCTACTTACTTTTTTTTTTTTTTTTTTTTGGATCAGTCGTGGGGCTTGAACTTGGGGCCTGGGCACTGTCCCTGAGCTCTTATGCTCAAGGCTAGCACCCTACCATTTTGAGTCACAGTGCCATTTCTGTTTTCTAGTGGTTAATTGGAGATAGGAGTCTCATGGACTTTCCTGCCTGGATTGGCTTGGAACCATGAGCTTCAGATCTCAGCCTCCTGGGGAGCTAGGATTATAGGCATGAGCCACAGCTCCAGGCAATTACTTGCTTTTTAAAAGCAAAGGTCAATTCATGTTTTTCAATTACAGAGTTAGCGTAGACGGCTGCTGGGGTTATAGTGGGCATGTCTGACTTGACCATAGCTACACCTCACTCTCAGGCTCTTTATACCTGCTCGGTTAAATCAATCTGGCAGCCAGGAGCCTCTTCAGAGTGATGTCCTGTTCAAGGGCAGAGGTCTATTACTCAATGGAAGCTTTGTTCATGTTGTTTCTCAAGCAGAGAAAAGAATTTGAGCATGTCCTTGGTGCCAGGCCCTCTACCAGTATCAGAAGGAGCACATGGGAGAAGGGATGTGGTCCCCACTTCCTAGAGTTTACAATCTTCACTAAACAAATCTCATTTCTTCTTTGAAAAGATCCCATTGGAGCAGGTTGATGCCTATTACAACAGAATCTCATTCAGCAAATGAGACTGGTTGAAATGATCAATGAAATGATTTATAAAACCTTAAAAATTCTGGTACAGTCCTAACTACTCCAGAAGCTGAGTTCTGAGGATCACAGTTCAGAGGAGCTCAGGTGATGGCCATGCACAGGTTTATAGTTCAAGGCCAACCTGGGAAGAAAAGTCCATTTTGAACTAAACAGCAAAACAAGGGCAGATTGGAGTTGTGGCTCAAGTAGGCCAAAAGAGCTGAGCAGTGCAAAGGCCTTCAGTTGAGTCACCAGTGTCCTCTCTCTCTCTCTCTCTCTCTCTCTCTCACACACACACACACACACATACACACAAATTTCCTTATACTTCACAAATGATAATTTCTTAATTTAAAAAGTGAATCATATTCATCTTTAGAATAGTAATCTCAGTTCATGTTTACTATTGTGACTGCAGGCACACATTCTATTCCTCCTTTTCGTATATTAGGGTATTGGTATGCCAACATTTTAACTAATATTGGCACTGTGACCTAATCAATAGTTATGTTGTTGTTTTTTTATAGAAATTCTATTCTCAGGGTTATATCCTGGGAACTCCACAGGCTTAGGACAGGAGTAATTCATATCATCAGTTCTTGTAAGATGTCAACTTAGAGGGAGCAAAGAGGACAGAGAATCCAAACATAACTAGAAGGAACTCAGGGACCAAGCACTGCACCGAGAGCTTGGAGTAGAAAAAGTGTAGCTGGTCAGGCCGATCCTCAGTGACTTCATGGGGAAAATGGACGTTAAGCTTAAAAACCATGTAGTAAAGAGAATGCACCAATGGTCATCAACCACAGAATATGTGGCTTAGGGACTTGTGGTTTTACTGAGGCCCAGGGCAGATTGCAGATAGACTGAAAAGGGGCATTCGCTCAGTTGAGACGGCACTTTAATACCAGTTTATCATTTGTGCACAGATCGCAAGATCTTAATAATACAGTATTAAATGGTTTAGAGCAGAATCGATTGTTGTAGAAGGCCATTCTAGTTGTAAAGTTATGTTAAAAGACATGAGAGACATAAGATACTAAAAATCAGGATCAATTAAGGAAAAAGATTGGAGGTAAACTGTAGCTTTGAATCCAAGTGGCTGAAGATGGTGGAAACAGATGAATCAGCAGCAGGAGAGAGTTTGACATTGGGATACTATATTTCCGGTTACGAACTCTGAGGCTGAAGTATGTTAAAACGTAGATCACAAACCCCAAATCTTTGGGACACATGTGAGGGCTGAATATATCTGACTTATGTAGAATGCCTCATTACCTCAAGTTTCCCATTTCATTTCTGTTTCAATCCATTCTTAATTTCTCTGTCACCTATTTTAAACAGACAACTCATACAACATTTTCTTTGTTCAAGAGAGCTAAAATGAACACTGGAGAAGTGCATGAGTTCATTTGGACCACATATTCCAAGATAGATCTTTCCACTAAGAAAGTTAATCCCACAAATCCTAATATAAACACCAGAAAATTACACCCATTTCTAATTGGTGTAGCAAGAGCCAACTTATTTTCTCATGTACCAAAAACTCAATGAGTCAGACGAAGTTGTTTGTAATATAGCCCAGACTCAGACTTGATCAAGGAACACGCAATCGTATGGCCTTGCAGCTGTCACCCCTGGAATTGAGGCAGGCCACGGGGCTTGTGTAAGAGACACTTAGAGAAGGAAACCGGCTCTGCTGGTTTAGCAGAGTCTATACTGTGTACTGCCATTGGCTGCCAACTAAAATCAGAATGGAAGAACTGTACTTCCTTTTCCTAACAGAGGGGTCGCTAAAAGAGGTTTGTAGGAGGAGCCTTTGTGAGGCCCTGCCCTGTTTCCAGTAAGTCTATGGCTGTAGACATCTAGGGCTTTACTGGAAAACAACCAGGAGAAAGCAGCATGAATTATTGGACTTCTTCATAACGGTTCAGAATGGACAGTCTCATCTTCAACTATGATGCCGAAATAGAGGAGAACAAATAGGAGGTTTCCAGTTAAAGAATATCTGAGAACCAATGACGGGGCACAAAAGGGTGTGTTTCCTGGAGCCCATCTCCCTAGAGTGGCCTCAAAGCCCACAGCTGGGTTTATGTCGGATCCCTGTAAGGGAGTGCTTACTTTGCTATGTGCTTGTGGAGTTGATGTGGGCTGAATTCCAGTGTGAAATAATAGCCCCGATCTTCAGCAAGATTTACTGACTTATAAAGGAAAATAATGCTTGGATAAGAAGACAGTATGGTAAAAGTAAGGTTGTAACATTGGAGAAGTAAAAGTGAATCAAGGTTCCTTGAGAATAGAAACTGTGTGTGTGTGTGTGTGTGTGTGTGTGTGTGTGTGTGTGTGCGCGTGCGCGCGCGCACACTCGTGATATCGCCTAGGGCATCGCTTGGCTACAAAGTCATAGACTATATCAATTTATTAACAAAATTGCACAATGGTTAGAAAATTAATTAAAAAGAATGACTACAACTATTAAATTAATAGTGTATTCTGTTTTTCTGTAAGTCATTTTGTTCTATATTTGCTTGTTTCAGCAAGCAAATATTCTTGAGGACCAAGTATATACGATATGTTTACTCTTTGATTTAATAACTGTGTTGAATGTAAGCAACATGTCAAGGTAGAGTTCTAGGAGTGGTATTACAAAGTAAATCAGATTAACCCCCTTCCCTGAGGGAGGTCATATTGGAACTTTGTTAAAATGGGGGAAGAGTCAAAGGCACAAAGCAAACTTTAATAGCTTGGATTGTGGTTGGAGAGATCAGACAAAGCAACAGGGAAAGAGAACCTCCTTAACACAAGAGGGCGCATGAGAAAGCCAGGTGACTCATATGCAAAATACTGCCCCTAGCCATATGGAGGGTTGGGGCCTGGAAACCATCTTGGACTGGATAAGTAGCACAAAAGAAGGCACATCTTCCTGAGATGTAATATCAACTTCAAAGACAGAAAAGAAGTCGAGTGCTCACTGGAGGACGATGTTACCCTATGTTAATATGGAGGCCTGTATCTGGAGTGTGTGATAGTCCAAGCACATTTGTTTTGTGTTACAGATCATGGTGTTTGGGTGGAGATATCTTACATGGCCACCACCCCACAGGCTTGTCTTTGAGAAAAGCTATCAGTGGCTTTCTCCCTTTTGAAATTATAAATAGCCAATTGCTTTGGAGGAGTGAGCTGAGTCAAATCCCCATGGATTTAAATGACAGAGTAAAAATCCAATTTATTCTGAGAAATGTGTTTCATGCACTGGATGCCTTCCGCAACTCCGTTTTCTAAATGAACATGTTTACTTGTAGAAATATGTTCTTACATTCTTACTAAGTATATACACGTCCTTGAAAAGGTCTATTTAAAGGGTTAGGAATGAGAGTGGCTGAAGGGTGAATGTGGTTTAATTCCACGACTCTTAGACAGGCTGCCCGAATCCTGTATTAATTTTAAGCCATGCCTCTCTCTTCTTACTGCTTTGCTAGGGAGCAATGACTCACTCAAAAGAGCACAGAAACCATTGGTGAAATTGCAGTCATTATTTTCCTGGCCATTTCATTTTGACATTTCATTATGAGGCTAAGATTTGAGTCTGTCAAGAACAGAAGAAGCAATTCAAGAGTGATGATTTTGGTTTTTTGATATTCAGTTGAAAGTGCCTCTAAAATATGTTTCCAACTAAACATGTTCTATTCCGAGCAAAATTTCAGAAAGCATCCTTTCTCCTTTTATTTACAAAACAGCTCCCCAGACTCTCTGTGGGGCATAGAATAGCTGGACAGGGGCTGGGAAGGTGGCTCAAGTGGTAGAGCACTAGCCTTGAGGGGAAGAGCTGGGGGACAGTGTCCAGGTTCAGCTGGACAGGGTATTGGTGTACTTCTGGCGGGGTGTCCTCTTTTCTCCAATGCCAGTACCGTGAACTTTCTCACTTCATCCATTTGAGTGTCTTCTCTTTAACAGGTTGGGTATGTCTTCTGTTCACACAGGTTTCATTCCTTACCAAAGAGGACTGAAATGGAAAGCATACATTTGCCCATTGGCTAT